CATCGAGTTTCCAATCTCCCTTTTCTTACCCTTCGGGTCGCCGAGGGGGGTGGTGTTTGGGTTGACCCAAGCGTTTGCTTTCTTAGGGGGGGCCTGGTAGTGAGGGGTCCCCTGAGGCGGAGGGCCTCTGATGAACTGAGACAGGTGGCCTGCCTGTATTAACCTTTCAATGGCCGTCTTTAGCTGATGGTAATCGTCGGTATTGTGCCCTTGGTTGCGATGGAACCGATAGTAAGGATAATTGGGGTTGATGGCATATACCTCTAGGGGCGCGCGAGAGTCGCGCTCCACTAGCCCCCTCTCCTCGGTGAAGTTTAGGATGACACTGACGGGGTGTGTCAAGGGCGTCCGAGGGTGCTCCAGGAGAATGGGTTGGGCCCAAGCCTTCGGGTTTCCCTGGTAACCTCCCCCGGGTTTGGCTTGGCCATGCCGGGGACGATCACCTAGGGGTGCCGAACCCTTGGATTGATTATGGGGAACCCCCGGCCCCCGGTTGCCTTTGTCCTCTGGCCGAGGGCATTGCTGGTTAGGGTTGTGATGGCATTTTTCCACCTCCTCGGCCTCGGCGTACCGGTCCCCCCGCTGTAGGGCCCTTATGTAATCGCGGGGAGACTCGATGATGAGGCTCCTTGAAAAATTCCTGGGGCGGAGGACTGTTTGAAGTAGGGCAAGGAGAGTCCTATCGTCGGCACCGTCGACTTTATCAGCCTCCGTTCTCCAGCGTTCCAAGAAGTCTCAAAGGGTCTCTTCCTTCCTCTGCCTCACTGTTAGTAAGTGGGAGAAGTGTTTTCTTGTTCGGCGCCTTCCCGCAAACTGTGTCAAGAAACGATGGGCGAGTTCTTACCACAAATCAATGTTTCCTTCGGGCAATCGGTTGAACCATTCGTACGCCAGTCCCTCTAAGGTGGAAAGGAACCAGCGGCACAAATATTCGTCCGATGCCCCCACCATCATCATGCTGTTTTGGTAGCAACTGTAATGTTCCTGGGGATCTGTTTTTCCTTCATAAGGCCGGATGGGCTATCCCCGGTACTTATCCAGGATCCGGGCCGCCAATACCCTTGGGGTAAATGGCGTCCGGGTCCGGAGTTGGATGATGGGTTCCCCGGAGCCCTCGACCATCTTCTTCTGCATCTCCTCCATTTTGGCCAGCATGGCCTCATATTTGAGATCTGCATGAGGGGCAGAAACGGTGGCGTGTGCTCTGATGGCCTCCACCTCGTGAATCCGGCGCTGGAGGGCCGTAATGATTTCGTCTCTGGGGTCCTTCGGGAGGGCCTCCGCCCCCTGCGAACAGACACAGGCCGAGTGGGCCTGGTTGATTTGATGCCGGGCGTCATCGGCATGGAGGGGTGCTTTGCGTTTGTCCCGAGGGGGACGCTTCTCATCTTCTCTCGAGACGGATCCCCCGCTTTCCTGGGGCCTTTGGAACACCTTTCCCCCGAGGCGGTCTTGGACCCCTCGGCGGTCTTGCGCCCCTTCGAGCCTCTCGAGGGCGGAGGTCCGGGGCCTTTCTTTGTTTGCACCGTGGCGGTCCCGGGATTGAACCTCCTAGGAGGCGGTGTCCTGAGCCACAATCTCCTCGTCGTTCCCAATCCGAAGGATGGGGTTGCCGAAGGGGAGGGGAGGCAGTGGAGGCACGGCGTTTTCCCCGATTTGGGGTTGAAGTGGTACCAGAGTGCTGAAGGCACCCGGGTTCTGAGTGAGTGTTTGGATGAAAGCGGAGAACGCCGATTGCACGTCAATAGTAAGGACCGGAGGGCTCACTTGGTTTTCGCTCCGGTCCTTTTTCCTGGCCTCGATGCCGAGGCGGGCATCAGGGTCATTTTGTTGGAGCTGAAGGCGTAGGTCAACAGTCGTCTGGTCCAACTCGGCGATGACGCCGCCCTCGGGAGCCCTGTTAGAGGCTTCGGGGACGTCGACTACGCCGAGGGCCAGGTTCCTGTCCTCAAGAGTCTTTGAGTGGGCACGAGTTGCTCTCACCATTTTGGTAGGTGCTTCTGTGTTTGGCGAGGGGGGGGGTTTCTTACTTGATTGTTCGAGGCCTCTCACCGAGAGCACTAAATGATGGGTAAGTGTACCCGGGGGTATCTATCCAAGGGGTTACTACGGGGAGTAACTTAGAGAGAAGTCAGAGCAAAAGTAAGAGAGAGAGAGTATTCAATATGAATTCAGCGTGGTTTACAAATGGGGAAATGGGTGCTATTTATAGCAGCAATAAATGCTAGATAAGGACACGTGTTAGTATTCTGGTGGTCGAGGGGCCACCTCAGCCGGGGTGGCACTGGCACTCGCATGTGGCCGCATTAAATGCGGTGGTTGGACGCGACGTCTGTACTTGGTACGGTGATCCAGCACATGTGATTGGATGATTCTGCCGAGGAGGATGCCTTCGGCTGTAGATGACAGTCTGAAGGCTCCGCGTACGGAGGGCCTCAGAGTGCCGAGGGCTCTAATTGCCGAAAGCTGTTGTTTTCGCCGTTTTCTCCCAGGCACTTCGAGTGCTCAAAAGCAGCTGTACTGTAAGTTTATAAGCCTTCGGCCATGGTGACCGAAGGCACCCAAGTGTACGTCGTGGGCTGCTTGGCACTTGGAGCGCTGTGATTTGGGCCTGCTGTGCTTCCTGGGCTTATTGGGCCTTTGTTATAGTAGTGGGAGTCTATGGACCGGGGGTCCCCGGGCCATATACTCCATCAATTAGAAATTATTTATAAATTATATTCATATGCTATATTGATTTTATATTAAATTTAATTATTTCGGGTTTTCTATTAGTCCAAGACGGGTTATAAGTTTTAGAACCTATTTATGAGCCCAAATCAGGTTTGGTCCATTTTTTTATTCAGGCCAGTTAAAAAGAAGAAAAATTCAAAACGGGAACATCATTCGGATCGAGACAGGTAGAGGAGTCTGGCCTCTGGAGAAGAATTGAGAAGGCAAGAACCCGGCTTCTTGAAAAAGGAGAATTCAGAAATTCCGGTTGGAGGCTTGCCAAGTTTTAACTGGTTTGGAATTCTGATATTTTTATAACAAGACTATGACATCAAGTAGACATATAATTAGGGGCGGGCATATTGGTTTTTAGTTTGATTCTTATCCATTTTGTTTCGAGTTAGAACGGATCGGAAAAATTATTTCCAAACAAAAATCATACTCCCTAATCCCTTGGTCAACACAATTCACTCTTAATCTCTTTCTTTATAAATCAATTTTTTATCAAATTTGATTCTGGTTTTTGTGACTTTGTAAAGCTTTTAATATAATTTCTGAATATGTAATTTTTTCTTTCTAAAACTAATATGAGTGCAAACAAGGATCCATTTGCTTTATCGTCGGTCAAACATCGTAAACTGTAAAGTATCTTACAATTTGGAACAGAGGGGGTACTATTTTTCGGTTTGGTTTGGTTTAAATTTGTTATGTTTTAATAATAAGAAATTACATTAAATGGGACTAAAACATGGTTAAAACTCCAAAATAGGACTTCAAGATTTAAATTTCCTAAATGGGACTCCAGATTACCTTTTTGTCCCTAATCCCTAAATCATCTTTTCCCCAAATCCCTCTGCATCGATCGCCAGAGGACGCAGCTCAACTGTCATGGACGCAGCTCAACCTCCATCGATCGCAAGTTCATAAGTTCGCAATTCGACGCTGGCCTATCATCGCAGCTGCCTGCTCGGCGCCGGACGCCATCTCCAGCAAAATCAGGTATTCTCCTCCTCCTCCTCCTCCATCTCCTCCTCCTCCTCCTTCTTGTTCTTTTTCTTCTTGCTCTTCTTCTTCTCCTTCTGTAAATGTCATCTTTCTATTCCAAAATGCCAACATTATTTTAACATTATTTTTAGTTTTTTATCAATCAAATTTTAAATAAAATTTTGAATTGTGAAAGTCATTTCTCTTCATTTTTTATAAATTCCATCTAATTCACTTTAAATCGTTCATATTATTTTTCTCACTAATTGGACCTGAAAATGGCATAATTGCTATGTTATTGAACACTCATTTGGAAAAAATGTCACTATTTTGACATTACATTTACCAAGATGACAGTTTTTATTTGACATTTATAAAGAGTAAAAATGGCACCAACTTGACATTCTCCACGACTGCCATGTTTTTATATATGGAAATGTCATCTCCATGACATTTTGGGAACAAAGGTGACATTTTTTTACAAAAGAGGGCAGTGGAATCCATCTTACAAGAGATACAATGGCGGTCTTATCTCGCAACTAATGTCGGGCAGCTACGGCATTCACTTAGGTGGCAGCAGTCACCCAGGCGGCGACAATCAGCCAACGATAGTGGAGGTCTGTGCACTGAAGGCCTTGCGCAGAGGGTGGTGGTGTCGGCAATATGAAGGTATCGATGCAGGGCACCGCAACAGAGTAGTCGGAAGTCTAAAGATCATGCGCTAAATTCATTAAGGGCAATTTTGTCCGATCGGTAATTAAAAGTCCTATTTAGGTAATAAAAAACTTAATGTCCTACTTTGGAGTTTTAACCAAGTTTTAGTCCCATTTGGGAAATTCTCTCTTTAATAATATATGAAAGTTTTATTGAATTTCATTAGTTCAATTCGCTCTTGCAAGAAATACTATCAAACTCAAACCAAATTGCATATGATTCCGTTTCGTCCACCCTACATATAATTGATGTGCACTTTGATTGTAATTTACTAGTTTTTTTAGAATTAATCATCTTTTGCTAGTAGAGAAACAAAAGGTTTACTTGAAGCAAAGTTCACGGTCTTTTCGTAATGAAAATATGAAATATTAAATTGCTTCCCCTTGCTCCTAGGACTTGGCTATATTATCTTTTCCTAATCAATTGTGACATTTTTCATAATCAAATATGAAGAGTGAAGAAAACCTTATACTCCTATTTAAAACCATCAAGTCTATGAATTTAAAACCTATCTATTAAGGTTTATGAATTTATATATGGGTTAAAGATGGGCAATTTTGTGGATACTTGGAAATTCACACTCATTGAATGAAAAAGTTCTCACCCGACAAAATAAACATAACACAAGCAGGCAACTATTTGAAGAACACAGATAAGCCACTCACAAAAGTACAAACCAACAAAGTACATGTAAATATCTACAAAATAATAAAGGGAATAAATAACAACATACTTGCTGGTTCACAAAATCTCAGTACAAGCATAGATAGTAGCAATATATAGCAGGGGAAAGAAAAGAGCTTCAAACAGTGCAATAATCTTGCAAAAGCTGCCTAGCAAGGTCAAATGCCCCACTAGCCTTATAAATCAGGTGAAGGTTGTACGCAGCTTCCCTATGAAGGCTGCAATAGCCACCGGGTTTTTCAATTCGGTGTGCATACTGACATTCATCATAGAGAAACCTCGGGATTGGGCAATCCTTCTGTGGAGTCGTTAGCACCTTTTCATAGTACGAAGCTGCAATAGTCACAAGCCCCACATGCTGATATGCCCGTGCTATGTTGTATAGGGCTTCTTGGCGGCAATCATTCTTCTTCCCACACAACCTCAAATTGTTGTACAAAAAAGCCAACCCTTGTAACACACATTCATGCTTATTCTTCAGCCTAACATCAAATGCTAAGTTAATCAGTGCAGTTCCTACGCAAAGATTAATTATAGGGCAATCAGGCTGAAGTTTGTAAGCTTCCAGGTACTCCCTAGCTGCTACTTGATACTGACTGATCTCGCCAAACTGATGCCCTGCGATAACAATAGGAGGGACACAATCTTTCTGTTGATTGCGAACACGTTGTAGAAACTTGTTGTTTTTTGAGATAGTGCTGTCTGCTTTCGACAGTGCTTTGTAGTAGTAATTCCATAACGCCATTTTATATGGATGTTGAAGAAGGATAGGCTTTAGAAACTTGCAACCACGTTTTGTGTCTTGGACTTTACATGCCAATTGGACACCGACATTCACAATACTATCTCTCCTTTGATCTGACAATATGTCTGAAGCAAAACTGAGTGTGAGTTTGCAAACATCAAATGCCTCTTCGTATCTTCCTAGAGATGCCAGGGCTTTGGTCAAGTCAACAAAGAGTTGATGATTCTCTGCATCTTTTAGGAGTTTGGGCGTCGGAGGTTTCTTCTTGTGCAGAGATACCCGAGATTCTGAGTCTGAATCTGAATCTTCACTCTTCACATCCATACCAGCAGCTAAAGATTTTCTTTTCATTTCATCTTTCAATGAACATCTTTTTAAAAGGACCCTCTTTGCTCTGGAGGCCTTTCTTCTATCATCTACGTTAGCCACAGGTTTAAATCCCTGGACTAGATTGTCAGTTTGATCGTCATCTAAAACTTTGGCTCTTTCTAGAAGCACTCTTTTCGGGAGCTTTTTTTTCTTAGCTGCTACCTTTGAAGCTTCAGAAGTAAAAGACCGATAAACCAAGGGATAGAATACATTTACAAATTCTTGAAACATATCTTTAGCTCGGTAGATCCTGGCAAGCTTTAGTTGCACTTCCATGTCATTCCACCATTCTTCATCAGGGGTGCTATTGTTATTAAAGATGGTTTTCAATCCAAAGTCTGAATTTGGGGGAGAAAGAACAAGTATTGCTTCTTCGTCTCTCCCTCTCTCAAGAAGAAGCGAAGCTAAGGTCAGCCGAGTCTCAACACTGTTCTCAAGCAAAGGAAGAGCTTTGTAGAAGCATCCAATTGCTTCATCCCACTTTTCCAAAGATAAGTAACATTCTGCGATTTTCAAATTTAGATTTCCACTAGTTGATCCCAATCCGCTTTCCAACATCAAGTAGTAATGCAAAGCAGATTGATGGTGATCAAGCTTCTTAAACGTGTCTGCGATTTCAATGATTGATTCGGTAAAACCATTCATGTTCTCAATACGTAGTGTCCCGAAAAGGGATTGTGCATTATCTAGATCTCCGAGATGAAGGTAGCAAATTCCTGCCTTAGCCATTATTAGATCATTAAATGAAGATTCACTTCTGGGAGAATCTTCTATTTTTTTAATAAGTTGAAGAGCTCTACAATACTCGCCATTCTCAATGTATATGCTAGTTAGCATCAAAATGACTCTGGGATCGCCACCAGTTGGGAAGTGGCTGAGATAACTCTCAAGAGCAACCAGGGAGGATTCGACCTTACCACACTGCTTATACAGCTCAGCTGCTGCCATGCAGACTTCAGAATCATCAGGACGAAGGTGATGTATCTGTTGATATAGCTTAGCAGCTTTCTCATACTCCTTAAGTTCAGTATAATGAGACGCGCCGAGGAATTTAAGCATGATGTCATCAGGGTCAGCAGCAATGGCCTTGGGAAGGTAGTAATTAACAGCCGCAGTTTTCCCTTGATCTATAAACCAAGAAAGAAGCGACTTCCAGAGAGGTGTGTCCTTTGGCCTATTTACACTTAGTGTTGCAAGCATGTAATAACAGATAGCTCTTTTCTTATCACCCTTTGCGTAGTGAACAAGGCCGAGTGTATGGTAAGCATCGTGTGTTGGGTTACGCCTGATACACTCACTTAGCAGTTGTATAGCCCTTTCGTAATCCCCAGTTGCATAGCACAGTGTGCCCTCACCTAACAATTCTGTGGTCTCGGGGTCCACGTTTCTTCTAGAACCTTTACGCCTTCCTTTTCTCTTTTTCTTCCTCGATTTCCTCTTGCTACCGTAATTCATGGCTTCCATGATTTCATCCATACTAGCACCTAGAAACTCAGTCCCCTTCTGTTTCTTCAAAGGCCCTTTTTTGTCTTCATGAGACACAATGGCTTTTCTCTTTTTCTCAGCTAGTTCTTCGTAATTAGCATCATCGACTAAGAAACTAAAAGGCATTATCTCCTCTTCTGACTCCTCCTCTCCACTCTTTCCGCTAGACACTTCATCAGACTCATCATCTGATTCTGTTGCCCCTTCACGAGCATCTAAATCCAATCTTTTTTCAGAACCTGCAATCAACACAAGCTTCCCTTCATCATGAGAAAACCCAACTTCATTTGTTTCCTCTCCCATTGCCTGCCTGCCTTTAATCTACAATGTGAGAATATATATATATATATATATATATATATATATATATATATATATGCACTTCAACCCCAACTCTAAATAAAGTTTCTCCTGCAAATTACAGAAAGATGGATCATATTCAAGACAGTTCGTTGAGCAAGAGTGTAATTAAATATCTAAAACAATCTGATCATTACAAATAAAAAGCTCATACCAGGCATACCAGGCATTCTGATCATCAACAAGAGTGTCCATAAATAAGGAACCATAACAGTATAGCACCTAGTTACCTACTACAGTAGTTATACTTTTCCAACTACTCAAAAGAAAATACAGAAAATGTTTTAGGAAATACGCCCAAAAACCCTAACAAAAAAAAGTAATGTTCTGATCATTTGTAAATTGACTAGCTAGGGTGAGAGTACATGGTATATGACATTTTTTGAAAAGGTATATGATTTTTATGATCAGCGCCTACATTACATCATGAATCCAACATAGAGCAACAAGAATAGTCTCACTAAAAAAATGCATCTAAAGTTCTAAACTAATAAACCAGAGAAACAAAGTCCAACTCGCGCATCCTATGATTTTAATGCCCAAACTAATATAGGCTCTGCAACTAATAGTATAATTACATTCAGTATAAATTAGATGAAATTTTGGCAACAGTTTCCTAAACATGTGATGCATCTCAACACAAATAATTGCTTTTGAACCTCTACTTCAAGCATATTATATCCCGCACGTGTAAATCACAAAACTCAATCCTAATGCACAGAAAATACTCTTTTCTATATATTTCAGTCATACAAAGCAATGAACTTAGAAACTGATAATATGAAAATTGGGGGATATTTAGCATGAGGTTTACTCCTTGCAACGAGACCCACAATCAACAATGACAGTATATCTTTGATGTTAACAACCTTACATGTCTTCGCCAAAATTGCGATCTATCCTGTTTGGTTTAAATATTTCTTATATAGTTTGCATGTCTCTAAACTTGTCTAATTTTCTTAGCTTAAATATATGATCTGGTCTAGTCTAAGCTGGTTAAAATAGAGAAAAGTAACATGTTCAAAAAATGAGTTAAGAAGAACATCACTCTTAACATAAAATTTTGAAAAAGGAGACCATGAGTTCAACAAAATGCTCTTCTAAGATCAAGACAGTAGTATAATGTGCTTTTTATTGAGAACTGTGAAACTATGATGGGTTCATATTCACTGTCCTAATTTCCCTGTTCTGGCTTCCTGTGCCAACCAATAAAAACACTAAATCATCATAATTTGACACCTCAACGGTCAACAGTGACTTGCATGACAAACAATGTTGAGCACATATAACATCTCTCAATTTTCCTTTGCTTTAAGCATCAGTAAAGCATGTACCCAGGGGACTGGGCTGGCCTTATGGAAAATGAGAGGCCCTTGGAGGGTGACCAAGTTGGAGATTTGACATATGACTAAGACAGCATAACAAGCTACAATCCATCTATATATACTCTCACGAGAACTGACTGAACCTTGCAACAAAGATAAAAGTAGACACTCCACTAAAGAAGCAAATATGCTTATGCCTGATAGCTAAGCACTTGACAATCTCGTTTTGCTTTAATTGCTAGTTTTTGTTTCTCTCAACTGAATGTACTCTGTATTGTGTGAAACAGGAGTTGTGCATTCTACTGAAAAATCTAACGAGTTTTTACCACTTTTGGTCCTCCTATCGATACGACCTTGACCAATAGTACCCATATGGTACTACGCATCCCACATCAGAACTGGAAAAAAAAAACAATACAGAAGAATCATCTGCTATAGTAAAAAAAACATAAAATGGCAAAGGTGAAAGATATACTCATATACTCGCAAGTCGTAACCAAGCAAACACTTGTTTTAAACGTAAAAATAATATAGGGCTAATAGAAGATGTTATTTCAGCTTTGAAAGTCTAACCATCTACAAATTCAATAACGACAGAAACATCTAAGAATTGTATTTCACGTCTGGATAATTGAAACAAGAAAATAGATTTTACGGAGTATTTGAGAATATTTTCCTAGGTTGGGAGTAATAGTAATGTGGCGATGGTGTGGAAGATGAAATACCTGGTGGATACGGAATATTAGTAGTGAGCTATCGGATATGAGGCAACTCCCATAGCCGAAGGGTATCCTGTGATTATCATATGAGGCCTGACACTTGACGTTAAATAGGTAGGTGTTAACCAGAGGGCATTGTATGTTTATAAAGTAGGCTTGGGAGTTGGGACTTATACGGTAAAAACTGGGAAAATAGTTATGAACGAACCGCCTTATCTAATTTTGTTCCTATAGACTATAGTACAAAACAATCGACTTTCTCTCTCTAGGTTGTGTCTCAGGCTACGTCTAGCTTGTTGTGTTCGGCGGTGTTCGCTTAGACGAGTACGGCACCGAGAAGATTGTTGTTATTGGAAGAAAGGAGGGGATCACAAAGAGAATTTTGGCAAGGTTCTTGCAAAAGGTTAAAGCAATAGGTTTACATGGATCAGGGCCGATCCCGAGAAAACGGAGGCTCTGTGCAACAATAAAATTTGGGCCTTTTTTCAAGTTTAAACGCAAGCAAATTGTCTTACAATACAAGTTACTAATAAACGTAATAATTAAAATGAAAAAAGTCATTAATAACTTACAGTTTATTTAAAAAGAGACATTCTTCGAGCATATTTAGATGCGAAGTCATCTACCAAACTTGCAATGTAAATCTCTTCGAGTGATTCAGATTCTATGGATATCAACGTCAATCCATTGAGTCTCTCTTGTGACATAGTTGACCGCAAGTAGGACTTCAACAACTTCAACTTGGAAAAACTTCGTTCTGCCGAGGCCACTGTAATCGGAATGGTTAGCAAAACTCTGTACGCAATAAAGGCATTTGGAAAACAATTCATTTCTTTTAAAGAACTCAAAATTCTTGTTGCCCCTATCTTTTCCTTTGGCAAAATCTCTCTAAGCAACTTCAGCTCAATATACAAATCGTGGCCATCAACATCGCTGCATTGCCCATCCCTCTGCAGTACTGTTTGTAAATGAGTGCAAGATGACTCCAAATCTAAATCCGTAAGAGATTGTAACTTCTCAGAATTGAACAAAAACCCAAACATATTTTCATATACTTTGTATTGCTCAAACCTCCGTGTCAATGAGCCAATAGATTGATCAACTATGTAGACAAAGTATTCCACTCTGAACAGCTCTTCTGGTGTTGATGTGGATGATACAGAAGATTCACCAACACTCTCATCAAATTGTTTTTTTCTGCGAAGTACACGTTTCTGAGGAAACACTAGTTCAACTTCCAATTCACTGGCTATTTCTTTAGCCACATGCATAGCACTAAAAAACCAGTTTCTCTATACTTCTCAAAAAAGAAATTAGCCCTTTGACTTCAACAATAGCAACATCAAGAAGCATATCTTTTGCTTGTAGATTTTTGCTCACCAAATTAACAGCATATAATATTTCATACCAAATAACTGTAGCAAGCAAAAATTCAAAATTACAAAGATCATTTGTAGCTAAGGATCTAGCTTCACTTTGTATTTTAGAATCATTGTCTGTCTCGGCCAATTCTAGCAATGCTTCTCGAATGTCACTTATTTGAAATCTTATTGCTTTGACACTTTCCACACGACTTTCCCACCGAGTGGTTGATAAGGATTTTAGAGTCAATCCTTGGACATTGTTTTGTAAAGTTTGCCATCTTTTTGTAGAATTAGCAAAGAGTGTGTAGATTCGTTGCTGTAGAAAAATGTAGCATATACATGTTATTTTTATTATTTGTACATCCGGGACTGTATAGATAGGAATTAGAGTTGATTTAGATCTCTAATTCTTAGATTAGCTCGCAGATTAGATAGAATAGATAGATCCTAATATTTAGGATCTGTAACAACTTTAGTTTATCTGTAAACTTGTATATATATCATTGCCGGATGGCTCAATAATATACAAGGAAGATTAATTCTGGAAAACAAGTCGAAGACTGTATGATGAAGCCTACATTCTGGGATAATGCTTATTACATACTCAAACTTATGGGCCCTCTTGTGAAAACTCTTCGACTTGTTGACAACGAAAGAAAACCAGCTATGGGATACATCTATGAGGCTATGGATAGAGCCAAAGAAGCCATAATAAAAGCTTTTAATGGAAGAGATGATAACTATAAAGAAACATTCAAAATCATTGATTCTAGATGGCAAGATCAGCTTCACCATCCCCTGCACGCAGCTGGCCATTACCTCAACCCCGCTTTTTTTATGCCGATCCGCAAATTGAATTCAATAGTGAGGTCACGGCTGGACTGTATGCTTGCATAGCTAAACTGGTTCCCGAGGATGAAGAACAACTTGTTATTATTGATGAACTGTCAAAGTACACAAGGGCTGAGGGTTTGTTTGGCATCAACTTGGCAGTTTTGACAAGAAAGACCAAGGCACCAGGTAACATGCAGTTTTTTAATTAATACTTTGAATAAATTCTGATTTTTTGTCAGATTAATCTGCCAAATTAATGCATCAATTATAATAATGAATAAATTCTGATTTTTTTGTCATATATACAGCTGAATGGTGGCGCTTGTATGGGAGCACAACTCCCAACTTACAAAAATTGGCCATGAGAGTTCTTAGCCTCACGTGTAGTGCTTCAGGTTGTGAGCGTAACTGGAGCGTGTTTGAACAGGTACATTTTAATCAGCACTCCTACGAATTAATTGTTAAACACTTAAAAGTTAAAACACTTAAAGCACTAAAAGAAGTAATTTTTTTGTATTTTTAGATTCACACAAAGAGAAGGAACAAGCTAGGAATGCAAAAACTAAATGATTTAGTTTTTGTGAAGTATAATGCAACTTTGAAAGCTCGTTTCGACTCCAAAGATATCACCGATCCAATTGCTTTAGACAACATAGATGATTGCAATGAGTGGTTGACTGGAAACACTGATCATCAAAGTGCTGCACATGATTTAGTTTTCAGTGATGAGGAAGATGATGGCTTGACATGGGGTGCTGTGAGTAGAGCAACTGGAGCGGAAGAACCCTTAAAATATACTAGAAGACGGTCCACAATTCATAGTGCAAGCACTAGTCGTAGGCTTGTGGATGAGGAAAGTGATAGAAAAATTGAAGAGGATGTAGGAGGATATAAATCAGGAAATGGGGAACAAACAGACTCAGATTTTAATGACGAATAGTCCTGCAGGAAACGGGCAGTTGGGCTACAAAACTAAAATCAAATTATGTTTTATTTTCTAGTTTTAGTGTTTAAGACTTTAAGTGAATCATGAGTCATGACTTTATTTTGCTTAATCACTTAATCGTGACTTTATTTTGATCAATCGTGACTTTATTTTGGTGAAGCGTGACTTTATTTGTAAGGAACATGACTTCTTAATGCATTTCCTTCAATATGGTGAACTGGTACATCATGTTTGATTGTTGGAGAATAGTATGTGTTATTTTTTCTAAGCAGTGCGCCTGACATGAGTCAGGCGAGCGCTTTTTTGCGCCTTGCGCCTCAGGCGCTAGGCTAACCCTGTCGCCTTGAGTGCGCCTAACGCCTTTGACTACCTTGCTTTACCTCTAGTCTTTCCACTGTTTTTATTCCCTTAACCATACAGGAAGCTCTATCTATACCTGAGTGGAAGAAGGCTGTTTTAGAAGAAATGAATGCTCTTGAAAAGAATCAGACATGGCAGGCTGTAGAAGTACCCAAAAACAAACCAAGGGTGGGATGCAAATGGGTATTTACCCCTAAATTCAAGGCAGATGGTACACTTGAAAGATATAAGGCCAGATTGGTTGCCAAAGGATACACACAAACCTATGGCATAGATTATACAGAAACTTTTGCTCCGGTTGCAAAATTAAATACTATAAGGATCCTACTATCTCTAGCTACTAACCTAGACTGGCCTCTTCAACAGTTAGATGTGAAGAATGCTTTCCTAAATGGGAAGCTTGAAGAGGAAGTATACATGAGCCCCCCTCCTGGGTTTGAGGAACAATATGGCTCAAAGGTGTGCAAGCTGGAGAAAGCCTTATATGGACTTAAACAGTCCCCAAGGGCTTGGTTTGAAAGGTTTACTCAATTCATAAAGAAGCAGTGATTCAAGCAAGCCCAAGCAGACCATACACTATTCATGAAATTCTCCATTAAGGGAGAGATTGCAGTACTAATTGTTTATGTGGATGATATAATTCTTACAGGAAACTATTGTAAAGAGATTGAAGACCTGAAGAAGAAGTTTGCTCAGGAATTTGAAATCAAAGACCTGGGAGAATTGAAGTACTTTCTTGGCATGGAGATAGCCAGATCAAAGAAGGGAATTGTGGTATCCCAGAGGAAGTATGTACTAGACCTACTTCATGAAACAAGTATGAGTGTCTGCAGACCAATAGATACTCCAATTGACCCTAATCAAAAGTTAGGAAATGTCAAGGAAGGAGTACCAGTTAATATTCACCAATATCAAAGATTGGTGGGAAGGTTGATTTATCTGGCACATACAAGGCCAGATATTGCCTTTGCAGTCAGTATGGTTAGTCAATTCATGCATAATCCATTCCAGGAACATCTAGATGCTACCTACAGGATCCTAAAATATTTGAAAAGCTGTCCAGGGAAAGGATTATTTTTTAAAAGAAGTGACAATAGAAGTGTAGAAGCCTTTACAGATGCAGATTATGCTGGTTCAATAACTGATAGAAGGTCTACATCTGGGTATTGTACTTATGTATGGGGGAATCTGGTGACTTGGAGGAGTAAGAAGCAGAATGTAATTGCCAGAAGTAGTGCAGAATCTGAATTTAGATCTATGGCTAATGGAATCTGTGAACTACTTTGGATCAAGAGAATGATGTCAGGGTTGAATATGGAAATGGACCTACCTATGAAGTTATATTGTGACAATAAAGCAGCCATTAATATTGCTCACAATCCTGTGCTACATGATCGTACTAAACACATTGAAGTGGACAGGCATTTTATCAAAGAGAAGATTGAAGCTGGAATTGTGTGCACACCATTCATATCTACCAAAGAACAAACAGCTGATTTCTTTACAAAGGGGCTGTTTAAACCAGTGTTTGAATTTCTTATAAGCAAGTTGGGAATGTATGATATATACTTACCAACTTGAGGGGGAGTGTAGAAAAATGTAGCATATACATGTTATTTTTATTATTTGTACATCCGGGACTGTATAGATAGGAATTAGAGTTGATTTAGGTCTCTAATTCTTAGATTAGCTCGTAGATTAGATAGAATAGATAGATCTTAATATTTAGGATCTGTAACAACTTTAGTTTATCTGTAAACTTGTATATATATCATTGCCGGATGGCTCAATAATATACAAGGAAGATTAATTCTTCAAACTTACAGTTGCACTACTCCAAAAAAATCTCTTGCTTTTCGAGAACAATTAGCAATGTCACACAAGGTCAAATTAAGGCTATGACTACCGCAAGGGGTATAGAATGCCCTAGGATTTACATCCAAGAGTCTTTTTTGCACACCTTGATGCGTACCTCTCATGTTTGATCCATTATCATATCCTCGTCCTCTAACATTATCAATATCAAGATCAAGAGATTTTAACACACTTTGCAACACTTCAAAAAGGCCAAGTCCTGTCGTGTCATTCACAATCAAGAATTCCAAGAAAAATTCTTCTATTTTAATCGGATAAGAGGAGATATCAACACATCTTAATATCAAAGTCATTTGTTCTTGGTGACTCGAATCAGGAGTACAATCAAGTATGACAGAAAAATATTTAGATTCTTTGATTGTTTTAATGATCTTAGATTTTACTCCTGAAGCAAGCATCTCTATCGATTCATTTTGAATCTTATGACTAAGATAATGATGATGAGTATCCTTATTGTCGACGCGACGAATAAGCTCTTGAATAACAGGATAAAATTCACCCAACATCTCAATTAATCCTAAAAAATTCCCATTATGATTCTGATGGAGCCGCTCATTCGTTCCACGAAAGGCCAAATTATGCTTAGCAAGATATTTCACAGTTGCAATCACCCTAAACAACAATTGCCTCCAAAACTCTTTTTCTTTCAAAAGTTGATCATGAGCTACTTTATCAATTGTCTCATTTTTTTTGTAATCGAAGCCTCAACTCTACCCAACTCCTCATGTTACCCATATGCTCCACACCTGTTTCATGTTCTCTCAGTCTAGCACTAAGATGTCCACAATCATCAAAACCCGTGTTAGCTAAAGAACGTTTGCCTACACCTTTTCTAAAAATCTTACAACAGAAGCAAAATACCCTATCAAGCTCCTTTGAATAAACAAGCCAGTCTCTATCACATTTCTCTTCATTAGGCAAACTTCTAGTGTAAAAAGCTGATGAGAATCTTCTAGAGAATTTACCTTTAGGCCCTTCCACAAAATTTAAATCTCTTTTAGGACCATTCTCTACCAAAGTGTCTGTCAACTTTGAATCTAGAGCATCCCAGTTTCTTGGATCATATATGTCAAATAAAGCAGAATTATTTGGCCTATCATCTAAAACATCAATTCTGTGGTCCTCTTTATCAGAATTCTCAGCCATTTCGTTAACACATTGATCAGGTATTTCAACATTATTTTCAACATTCACTTCTTGTTGTTCACCCTCTTGAACATCTCTAACTTCTTTAATAATAAACTTATCAAGAGCTCCTTTTTGAGATTGGGTTAACTCCTCAAATCTTCTTTTCCTTTGACGCTTTTTATGACCGGATTGGTATTTATATGGAAACATAATTATTACCAATTATTGAAATTCTCCTATAATCATGTACATGTTTATAAATTTTAAATTAATATTAAGTTTAAAATTAGGGTGTAAGCATTATTTACTTTAAATGCAAAAAATCAAAAAATAACAACAACACAACAATTCAACAAACATTAAATCTGAAAATAAACAAATTACAAGATTTCAAAAGACAATTCATCAATTCAAATATTCAATAAATTGAAAGTTCACAAGAATTAGCAAATTAGCAACTAAATGAATAAAAGAATTAGCAAATTAGTAACTGACCGGAAGGACGACATCTGAGGGAGGCCGGAGGGCGGCGGAGGCGGTCGGCTGAAGTCAGAGTGTCGTGGGAGACTCGGAGTCGTCGGTTGAAGTCGAGTCGTGGTCCTCGTGGAGACTGGAGAGCAGCCGAGCGGTGTCCCTTTGGCAGCGGCGTGCGGTTGTGGACGGCGGTCTGGCGGAGTGGGCCGAGTGGCGCGGCGCCGTGGCGGACCGGCGGTGTCCCTTTGGCCTTTGTCGTGAAGACGCTAAGACAGGAAGACGGGAAGAGTCGGAAGAGAGCAGGGGAAACAGGATTTGCCGATTTTGAGTCTGGGGAGTTGATTTGGGCTAAAAACAAAAGTTTTGGGCTGGGGTAATACTAATTTTTTTTTGGGCCCTCCAAAATATCAGGCCCTGTGCGATTGGGCTGGGCAGACAGGCCCAGGGCCGGCCCTGACATGGATAGCTTCATGGAAAAATACAAGAAGATAACGATTGGGGCAGAAGGAGTAGGAGCAGCTGAAGGAGGAGGAGCATTAGCAGTAGCAGAGGAGCAGCGGTGGCAACGATGGCGGCTGTAGTGGTGGTGGTCAGTGGTGGTGGTCGTAGTAGTGGTAGTAGTAGTAGTTAGAACCTCTCTCTCTCTCTCTCTCTCTCTCTCTCTCGAACTGAGCATAAATTATTTGACTCGTATACAACTCTAATACTCCCCCGTCCCTTAATTTTGGCATGCTTTACCTTTTCCGTCTGTCCCACTAACTTTTTTTCATTCTATATTTGGTAATATTTCATTGTTTTACTCACAATTATTATCAACTCAATACAACACATATTCGCTTTTCTTAAAAACCGCATCATACCCTCTTTAATCTTTATCACAATCTGAGGGAATCCAGGTAATATAACATGATTTTCACGAGAATATATCAAATTAAATATTTTTTATCTTTTATATAACTCTAATATTACAAATGGGCAATACTCAAGTACTCAACCAGATCAGAAATATTCATATCAAATTATAAGAATTCACATCAAATGAAATCTTAAAAAATTCAGAGCAAAACAATTTACTCAAAAAATTAGATTTATACAATGAATATTTTCGCCAAGTGTAACAATAATTGTAGAGTAATTGAAATTATCAATCACAATGTAATTATGGCTACACTTGGAGAAAATATTCTTTATGCTAATATCAAGTGTGAGTAAGACTCAAACGCTCATGACTTTGAGGTTGTGGAGTAGACTTATAAAGATTTACTAAGGTCAAATGTATTCCGTGTGGGATATATAAAGATAAGCACATATACACGCCCTTAACTTTCACTACAACTTGCGGGGTTATAATGTTGTAATCTTCTTTTGATATTTTTATTTATAACATCAAGAGCCCGTTTGGTGACCCTCTTTTTTGGCTTACCAGACTTATCTGCCAGCTTTTTCAACAAACACGTAATTTTTTATTTCGCGCGCTGAAGTTTGTAATAAGCAGAAAAAGTAAGGTTGAAGTTATTTTTTCGGCTGTTTTGGCTGAAATTACTGTAGTTGATCATTTTAGCTATTTTTTCATATAATTTTTTATTTAATTTTTTGATAACAAATACGGAGTATTTTAAATATTTTTTTTCATGAATCAGCAAAAACAGCCAATACAGCCACTTCAGTCAGAACTTGATAAATTTCAGCGGAATCAGCCAATTCAGCCAATTTTTGTGTTACCAAACGGGCTCCAAAACTCACAAAAATTTATGAGGCACATTCCGATTTATTTAATGATTGACAAATTATAAATAAATTACACTATTTAATGCCATGACTTAATTTATAGGGCATTACTGATTACCACATTTCTTCAGGGCATGTTAAATCAAACTCTGATTTTCATGAAATTTCATGACGAATTCCTTTGATAAGTAATTAATTTGAGTGATGGATCATGAAGTATATGCGCCTGGATGAAACAAGAAATCACAATTTGGCTTTGAACAGGACATGATATTTGAAAGGCAGATAAACTCAACCATTTAGACAATCTGGCTTTTTCTAGAAATATTAATTTTGGAACAATTTGTATTTTCGAAACATAATAATGCAACTAGTCAAAAGAAAATGCAGGTAGCGTTTTAGGAAATACGCCCATGCATAATACACCCTAACAAAATCATTAATTTTGTGGTCATTTGTTAAATTGATTTGCTAGGGCGTACAATGAGCATTGTACAGTCGACAACATTTTGGTAATTTAAATTAAATTCACGTCCTCTGCCAAATGAGCGTGAATGAAGTTTTAGTGAACATTAGACATATTATGTTGAACATTAGAAGGCTAACAATGAGCATCGTCATCTCTGCTTCATATCTTATAATTCACTTTCTTTTTCTTATTTTTATTTTATGGAAACTTATAAAGTTTTATCCATAATCAACTTTTATAAACTTCCATATGCGAATTTAAAGTAATATGATACTTTTGAAATATGCATTGATATGACATTTTTAAAATGAGCATAATATCCATATCAAATGAGTATACGCAACTTACAACTTGCGCATTAATATGAAAATCGCAAGGTTTGTTAATTAAACATCATGACATTTTCAATGAGCATCAAACTTCCTATATTGAGATGAAAATAACGGTTTCTATTAAATGAGCATTAATGAACTTTTAATTAGCACAAGACCTATTCTGTTGAGTATTAGGAGTCTAAGATTGAGTATCATGATCTCTGCTTCACATCTTCTAATTCACTTTCTTTTTATTATTTTTTATTTTATAAAAACTTATTAAATTATATCGAACGTGGATTGTCAATAAATTCTATTTAGAAACTTTGATTTGTTTTGTAACTTTTAATGAAATAGTTTGGGGCAATGTATTATTATTGAAGGTGTTTAAAAATCTTGATGTGCAATGCTTGGAGAAGTAACAAAATCATCACATCATTAGAGCAAAATGCTGATTTTAGGTACATCCGTTTCTCTTACTAGAAAACTTTCTAGGTTGCTCTAATCCCGTCCGGCGCCGCCACTCGCGGTGGTCGCCGCCGCTGAAGCCCTCGTGGCTCCGGTGGGCAGGTCTTATTGGTTATTTCAGTGCAACTTTTTGGAAAAGGCTCCTCTTGGTGGGTTGTTCTTGGTCACATTCGATGATGGAAAAAGTATCTCGAAGCTAAAGGTTCACTGGATCTGGAGTTTCGCTACTAGGATTGCAGTGCACTAGGATACTCATCTCGCTGTAGGCAGGGGTTTGCCGGATTTCTCTTCCATTGACGAACGGTAAGTTCTGTCTCTCGCCTCATTAGGGTTCTCTCTCCTCCATTTTCGTAGCTTGGACTAGCCAGAGTCGATCCATCGATCCAGACAGTTTGGTCCTCCGCCATGACCTCTGTTGCTGATTTTCTTTGTCGTCTGTGGGTGGGGTTTGCCGCCGCCCTCAGGCTAGCCATGGTGAAAGCCTAGATTCGGGGTGACCCGGGTATACCCACGGGTGAGTAGCCATGGTGATTTGAAGCTGTCTAAGCTACGGGCCGATCCGTCAATGGAACTCACACGGCCGGCCACCATCCCGTTTCTTGCTGACCACCATTTCTCCTTGGCGAAGCCTCTGGTGTTCGCAGTTGATGGTCATTCTTGGCTAAGCACCGGGTTGGAGTGGTTGCTATTGGAAGAATTTAGATAAAGAATACAAACAAAGGGAAGAGACTCAAGATATAGTAACGAAGCATGACAGCTCAGCATAACTAACTAAAGTTCTAATTCCTCATTCCTGTTAAGAATGAGACAAGAGGGGGTGACACGTAAATTAATAAATATTGGTTTATGTGGTTGATATTGAATTGATAAGGTAAGAATAAAGTAAGAATAAATGATTTAGAGCCACACAAACTTTACCAAATTTGGTATGAGACAATCTTAGTGGGACGGACCGATAAGGTAAAATGGGACAATCATAGCGAGACGGAGGTAGTAGTAGTTTCTTTCCGTTACGTAGTTTATTGTTCATCAACTTGTATATATAAGTAATGTACATTACATACTGTGAATTAATAAAATTACGCATTCACAATCTGAAATGGTATCAGAGCTTCCGCAAACACCTATCAAATAATTCTGCCATCAAATCCCTAAAATTCACCAGTTCTTCATGGCTTCAAGCGATGATGAATCTGAACACAGTCATCATAACAATGGCGGAGCTGAAGTAAATCCATTGTTTCTTCATCATGCTGAATCGCCAAGTCAGTCATTGATCAGCTTGAAACTAGATGCTCGCAATTACCATCGATGGAGTAGATTGATGTATGTTGCACTGTCAGCAAAGAACAAGTTGCCATTTATTGATGGAACTTTGTCCAGACCAGCGATCAATGATCCAAACTATTTCAAATGGATGAGAGCAAATCACATGGTAATTTCATGGATCTCTAACTGCTTATCATCTGAATTAGGAGACTTCACATTATATTCGGATTCTGCGGTTCAAGTTTGGAAGGAATTGAAACGCAGGTTTTCCAGATCTAGCAACAATCACATATACATGCTTGAACAAAGTTTAATTACTACAAAACAGGATAATTCACCAATCAGTGTTTACTACTCTAAACTAAAGACGTTATGGGATGAAATCAGTCAATATGAAGAATCAATTGTATGTTCTGTTGATAACTTTCTTGTTTCGATTGAAATGAATAGAAGACTTGAACGAAAGTGTATTATGCAATTTCTCATGGGACTCAAAGAATGTTTCACTCCAGTAAGAAATCAGATATTGTTAAAGGATCCCCTACCTCCTCTTGATGATGTATTCAATCTGATTTTGCAAGAAGAAGCAAATCAAGAACTGAATTTTTCAGTAGGCTATCAGAATGTAACTATGAACATGGCAATGGCTGCACAATCAAATCCAAATTATAACAGAAATAATGCTGGAGACAAGTCCAGATACAACACATATGAAGTTACTGATCAACATGAAAATAAGCAGAGAATTTGCACTCACTGTAAGAAAACCAATCACACAATTGAAAATTGTTATGAGCTTATTGGATATCCACCTGGACATAAACTTGCTCGGTTCAAGCCTCAATCTGGTCAAACAAATGGAGGATGGCAGAATAAGAACAAGAATATTGTGAATGCGATAATGCAAAAAGAACAAATTGAAGAATCAGGTAAGGGTTCAGTTAGTTTGACTCAAGAGGAGTATCAACAGTTTTGTTCTCTTATCAAAGGTGGCATTAATGTGGCTTCTACAAGTAATGTGGCTTCACTAAACAACCCCCATATTTCAAACCAGGTTGCTTCCAATTCTCCT